AGAGAGAGAGAGAGAGAGAGAGAGAGAGAGGGAGGGAGGAGAGAGACCCTAATCTAATCGGACGACCCCGCTTCGAGAAATGCCTACTGGGACACCACGGGTGAGGGGTCGGCCTGGGCCCCAGGTGGACGGGGCCCGGGCCCCCGGGAGAACGGGCCCGGGCCTCCTTGGTGGATAGGGCCCGTGCCCCCCGTGGATGGGTCCGGGCCCCCGGGAGAACGGGCCCCGGGCCCCGGGTGGACGGGGCCCGGACCCCCGGTTGGATGGGGCCCGGGCCCCCGGGAGATTGGAGAACGGACCCGGGCCTCCCGGAGAACGGGCCCGGGCCCCTGGGAGAATGGGCCCGAGCCCCCTGGGTGGATGGGTCCCGGGACCCCGTGGATGGGTCCGGGCCCCCGGGTGGATATGGCCCGGGCCCCCGGGAGAACGGGCCCCGGGCCCCCGGGAGAACGGGCCCCGGGCCCCAGGTGGACGCCGGACCCCGGGTGAATGGGGCCCGGCCCCCGGATGAATGGGGCCCGGGCCCCCTAGTGGACGGGGCCCGGGCCCCCTGGTGGACGGGGCCCGGAGCCCCAGGTGGACGTGGCTCGGGCCCCCGTGTGGATAAGGCCCGGGCCCCTGGTTGAATGGGGCCCGCTAGGGTGACTCGCTTGCTCCCCAAAGCGAATAAGGGGTATTTTCGATCGGTGGGCGTTTGGCTGGTCTTGTGTCCGTGGGCCTTATGTATCCATTTCGGTTGGTTGCTTTTTGACGGCTAAGCATTTTGGTTTGGGAAAACATATCCATTGCATCGAGGTGCTCGTGTCTGATAAGCATGCGTTCTACTATAGAACATGTCATGTGTAGTTTATAACAAAGGTTGACGTAGGTTATTGAAAAAATGATAGCGATCGATGAATTACTTTGTAGAGGTTTGCAACATTTATATTTTTAAGAATACTGTTGCTCGTCATGCAAAAGCGATGATTGGAATTTGGACAAAATTAAATGTTCTTTCCAACTATGCCATTTTCAACTGTCAAACGTACCAGGTTATGCAGTAAAACCCATGTAATTAAGTAAGTCATTAACAAATACCATTCTCTCCAGCGATTTGTTCTGCACCTTGTTTTTGATCAATTAGCTTTTCACAATTTTTCCATGAGAGGCGGTACCTTTCTTTTGCCAACAGGCGTTGTTTGAACCCGCTCCGTCAAACAGTCACCCGAAAATAGCATTAAGTCCCAAATATGTCCGAAACGTAAATTTTCCAGCATAAGTGCCCTCACGGGTGCACGTGGCGCGTGCCATCCCTGCACCGCACACCATTCGATAGCCCTTTCGATTCTCTACACGATACTGTGTTCCCCGTGCCGATTGGGCCCACGGTTACCGAGATACTGCATGGGTACCGGACCAGTGTCTGGCATATTTAGCCATTTTCGCCCGATTTTGCAAGCCGATTTATACATGTAAAGTCCATGACGCGAATTTGCACTTTTTGAGCACGCGCCATGTGCTCGCAATCGATCCGATCGAGCTGAGACCCTCAAAGGCACGTTGCCCATCCTTGATCTATAAGTTGCGCAAATTTCAGCGCACTTGGCGCAACGGTCGGGCCCGTACCCCGCGCTAAGTAACACCATGCCGGGACCACGATAGCAGACAGAATCTACGTCACCACATCACCACGCCACAACAAACCCGGCCCAAGGCAAGAGTATGCATTTAGGCCAGGTCGGGTCAGGTCAGGTCAGGTCAACCAATAGGAGTCCTGCCGGGTATTCGTAGTACCTACGTGTCAGCCGCCTCTGGCAGCTTCGTAACATGTTACGAAGGCACCAAAACTACTTCGTAAATGTTCAAATGGTTGTTAAATTCGGATTCAGCTCCAAAAACTAGCCTGGAAACATGTATAATTCGAAAAAAGTACCGAGGTCATCATAGGTAATGAATGACCTGACCTGACCTTCAGGTGACCTTGACATCCACCCTAATGCATGGGAGCAGCATCAACTCACATGTTGTTTGAATGCTTGAAACCACGAAAGACTGCAAACGCGCGGCTAATGCGAGCCGGCATACGCCGAATCGCGATTCTGGCCAAACATGGTCTCGGAAAGTAGGTCACAGATCAAAGGTCATTTGGGTCAGGGTCATGAAATTTCTAGGGTAGGGTAGAACTGATCAACGCGAGGGTACTGAAAGTTTGGTCGTGATCGGCTGCTTTTTACGCGAGTTATTTGCGAAAACCCTTAGGGGGTTGCATCATCCCCTCCCCTGTGCCGGCGAGGGTTAAAACTTCTTGTGAGCGAATTTACGTAATGAAGAAGAATAAATCACAATATACTACAGCAGCCAATAGATGACTTAGGAGTTAGGACAGGCACATGGGACTGCTTAATTAAATCTTGTCCGACAGAAGCAGGCAACAGTTCCGTTTGCATAGGTAATGAATGACCTGACCTGACCTTCAGGTGTATGCTATGCATATTGCGGAAGGGGCACATTTCGCCCTCGAAAGATACGAATTCATACGTCATAGTAACATATTTCTGTCATGGTCAATTCGTGTAGATATTGAACACTGGGTGATTACCGAGCTATTGTTCTATCAAAATTTTCCGATTCAAACTCGCTCAGGGTTATCGTACAGGTAAAGGGGGCCCGCTCAGCAGAATGCGTATGTAATATGGAAAGATTCTGAAAAATGGGTGGGGGGCCCGCACACTAGGGGGCCCGCTTTGGAGGCGATGACCCCCCCGAAACGAAATCCTGGCTGCGCCACTGTATAGGTGCATGGAATAACAGTAGGTAAGTGGTTAGCGCGATATTTCACTTGAAACGCCTGATTGATGCATCAACAATCAACATAGATCGGGCAAACTTTCTCATCGCATGTCAGCTCGGGTTCCGAATAGCTTGATTGAACGTCGTCACTCGTCGAGGCCCCAGGTGGCTCAGAGTTCACGCTCGAGTTAACACGATTTTTCCTGGCTGGCAAATCAGTAGTCGGCACCGGTATCACGGTGAGATCTGTCCCCCGGGAAATGCCTCCAGGTTGATGGAAATGTCTGTGCGGAGGCTGTGTACCGAGCGCTCGGGAGACTGACGGACACAAAGGGCTGCTTGGACGTTATGTCGGAAACTGAGGGACCCAGAGGGTAGGGGACTTACCAGACTGCCGATTTCCCGAGAATAATGGAACGGACGGGTCCAGTCAGGGGCGGAGAATTGTCATAATCCCAGGGGGTGCTTTTCTAGCATCTGGCGAATGGAAGCGTCGAATTCTTGCGTAGAAAAGCACATATAGTTACGTTTTCCCAGCAACATCACTCTCCTATCGTCTTACGCAAAGCACTTTGCGTCTCAGACGTAATTTAAGCACCCCTGAAGCACTATTATATGGTGACTTTTGAATATCAGGGGGTGCTCGAGCACCCCCAAAACCCCTAATTCTCCACCCCTGGGTCCAGTGATTTAACGAACATACACCGGATCTAAATAGCAAACAGAGTGTTTGCAGTAAAATAGAATTAATGTGACGAATCCCATTTTGACATCAGTCCTTGCAAACAGGGATTGGTTCATGGGCTGGTATATGAATTATTAGCTGTTGTTTGTTGTCCGACAAGTCAAGCAGGCATTCCGAAGGTATAGATATGGCAGGCCTGGCGCTTTCCTCCTGCAGTTATTGCATCAAATGAAAAAATGTAGGTACCCATACCTACGCTCACTGCAAAATTGAACAACGTTCGTTTTTTATCAATAGAATTTCGCATTGCGGGGAATGGAATAGGGATGGCCTATAACAAAGGCATAATGCACTTATTATGCATAAGCACTAAGCAGTCGTTGAACGCGTCATCCATGATCACTTCTTCAATCAAGCTGATGCAATGTTTTGGTTGCATGCTCATACCTTCGCCCACAGATGCCAAGTTCTGTCGTCGTTTCATCCCAGTAATGAGACCTGCCGCGTGACACAATGCCGTAACAGGCTGTGGTTATGCTTCAGTTGGTGCTTGGTAGTATAACTATAGGTACTGCCCTCCAGTAAAAGGGTGGCTGATCCGCCGATGTTTTTGCAATAGACTATAGCGTTGAATGACACTGGCACTCTAGTAAAATGACTTGCAGTAGAAATGGAAAGACATTTCGCTCGGACGGTGCGGCAATGTTTGTTAACAGCCTACAGTCACATTCAGCAATACTATGCGACGTTGACGACGACCTACTTGATGCTTGGAGGGTCGCACGGTGATAATTTGCGATTCCTTATTTTCGTTTTTGCTGCCTTAAATTTTCGCCTCAGTATGTTCAGTGTTCACGCATAATTAATTGATCGATGTTCCTGGGAAAATTCCGAATTTATCTCGCCTTAATCTCTTAAATTTGTATCTGGTCAATATTGGTACAAGCCGACAATGCTGTTTCTGTGATTCGGGCTTTGATTCTGACTGTTTCTGACTTTGGCGTGCGGCACCGGATGGCGCTGCTGACTCTAACACTGACTCGGCCCTTATCTCCGGCAGGCCTGCGTCACCGGACGGCACTGCTGACTCTGACTCTGACTCGGCCCTTATCTCCGGCAGGGCTGCGTCACCGGACGGCGCTGCTGACTCTGACTCTGACTCGGCCTTTATCTCCGGCAGGCCTGCGTCACCGGACGGCTTTGCTGACTCTGACTCTGACTCGGCCCTTATCTCCGGCAGGGCTGCGGCACCGGACGGCACTGCTGACTCTGACTCTGACTCGGCCCTTATCTCCGGCAGGGCTGCGTCACCGGACGGCGCTGCTGACTCTGACTCTGACTCGGCCCTTATCTCCGGCAGGGCTGCGTCACCGGACGGCGCTGCTGACTCTGACTCTGACTCGGTCCTTATCTCCGGCAGGGCTGCGGCACCGGACGGCTCTGCTGACTGTGACTCTGACTCGGCCCTTATCTGCGGCAGGGCTGCATCACCGGACGGCGCTGCTGACCCTGACTCTGACTCTGACTCGGCCCTTATCTCTGGCAGGCCTGCGGCACCGGACGGCGCTGCTGACCCTGACTCTGACTCTGACTCCGGCGCTGTCAGCCGCCGCTAGTCCCGATGACGACGGCCTGGTGGTACGCACCAACAAGGGACTGGTGCGAGGCACGCGGATGACGGCCGCCACCGGCCGGCACGTGGACGCCTGGCTGGGCATCCCGTTCGCCAAGCCGCCCATCGGCCCGCTGCGCTTCAAGCACCCGCAGCCGATGCACTCCTGGGCAGGGATCCGTGACGCCAGGCATCTGCCCAACTCGTGCTGGCAGACGGTCGATGACTATTTCGGTGACTTTGAGGGCAGTTCTATGTGGAACGTGAACACGCCGATGAGTGAGGACTGTCTATATTTAAATGTGGTGGTGCCGCGACCGCGACCAGCACACCTGGCTGCCGTCATGGTCTGGATCTTCGGCGGCGGTTTCTACAGCGGCACCTCGACGCTGGATGTGTACGATCCCAGAATCCTCGCGTCTCAGGAAGGTGTGGTCCTCGTGTCGTTCCAGTACCGTGTGGCGTCGCTCGGCTACCTGTACATGGACACGCCCGCGGCGCCCGGTAACGCCGGTATGTTCGACCAGCTGATGGCGCTGCAGTGGGTGCAGGACAACATCGCCGCGTTCGGCGGCAACCCGCACAACGTCACCCTGTTCGGAGAGTCGGCCGGAGCCGCCAGCATTAACATGCACCTGGTCTCTCCGCTGTCTCGCTCGCTGTTCAGCCAGGCGATCCTGCAGTCGGGCTCGGCCACCAACCCCTGGGCAGTGGTCGACAAACGCGAGGCGGCGCTGCGCGGCCTGCGGCTTGCAGAAGCGGTCAAATGCAACGATACGAGTGCCTCGGCTTTATTGGACTGCCTGCGCAGTACGGACCCTAAGACTCTGGTAAACTCTGAGGGGTTTATGGCCGGCTACTGTGAGTTTGCCTTCGTGCCTGTGATAGACGGCGCATTCCTTGTAGAATCGCCGAGCGCCTCCCTGACCAGCGGCAACTTCAGGAAGGTCAACCTCCTGATGGGCAGCAACAAGGACGAGGGGTACTTCTACCTGAGCTACTTCCTGACCGAACACTTCCGGCTGCGTGACAATCCGCCGGTGACACACGAGATGTTCCTGGACGCCGTGAAGCAGCTGCACCCGCGGCTCACGCCCCCGGCCCGCTCGGCCATCGCGTTCGAGTACACGCCGTGGGGCAACCTCACCAGTTCGGCACATATGCGTGACGCTATCGACGAGATGGCCGGCGACCGGCAGTTCACGTGCGGCGTGCAGCAACTGGCCGAGACGTACGCGCGCGCCGGCGCCGACGTCTACATGTACCACTTCATCCAGCGGAGCAGCGCCTCGCCGTGGCCGCGCTACATGGGCGTGCTGCACGGCGACGAGATCCTGTTCGTGTTCGGCGTGCCGCTCACCAAGCGAAAGCAGTACAAAAGACGAGAGGTCGAGCTCTCCTGCAAGATGATGCGCTACTGGGCCAACTTCGCCAAAACCGGGTGAGAAAAGGAGCTGAAGGGCGTAATTACACATCGTACAATAACTTGAGTCTACGTAAACAAAAACATGCATATTTTTGGTTAGGTATTTGAATGACGGGGCACTCCCAATTCCAGGCGTAAATTACACGTTGCCCTTGGTTTCTTAAGCCCTTAAATTGGGCTGAGTCGACTGGCAATTGCCACGCAGCGTCACCTAGACGGTCTATGGCTAGGGGCCCATCCCGTTATGATATCCAAATGTCTCTTTAGGACTGGCAGCCTGGATACTCGAACGAATGTCCCGGACGGGCATCCCCTAATAAGCCCTTCCCGGTTGTCGGAGAATAACCGTTAGTGTAGAACGGGAATAATTAAGTAAGAATGAGGATCGATCAAATCCGAACTCTGGAGCATGAGAGGTCGAATAATTGACAGTTTACCCACACAAATTACCTATCAAATTTGGTAAAAGTACATTAGTGTTTCTGTGTTGTAGGCGACCTCGGTCCTCGGCTCTATTGTTTAGATCGTTGGACGGTTAAAAATCTTTTAATGGAACAGAAGTTGTGGTGCACCTAATGCTGAGCTCTTTACATTACATTTGCCCTGCCTACTTCCCTCTGCAATCCACTGCCTCTGCGACCCATTGACTTTCATTAGGCTGAACTATTTAGATAAATTACCGGGCGGGCACGCCTGCATCTTAAATTACCTTTCAATTACCGTAATAGCACCGAGCACGTGCTTCTCTGTAGGTAAACGTCGTTCAGAAACTTTATGCAATGAGTTCACTTTGAAATATCAAGTGGCATTTAACCTAAAAGTATGGCATGTTTTAAATATTGTACATATAATTGAAGATGAGCGTAGTTGTGAGTTGAGACAGCATAAAGCGCTTCTTAGAAAACAGCTTCATGTTTCCATCACAGGTCGTCCGTCCTCCTTTGATCCTGGTGACGTCGAATTCCCAGACATGGCGTTGCTTGGATATTCAGGCGCCCGTAAGTTGCACGGAAAACGAAATGAAGACAGTCTACCAACATTATTAAACACGCTGGAGTGTACGAGCGGTATTTTGACCAGCCGGAATCCTTTTGATACTTATGTGTCTCCATAGCAGCGAGGTCAGCAGCTCATTTTGAACCCAATGTCGCAGCAAGGTAGTATATACGGACATGCAGATGCATACATAGTTAAGAATCCATCCAATACCTGGAGGGTGATTGGATGGATTCATATATGTACATTACACTTAGCGCTTGTCACCGAATCTAACCTCCACCCCCATCGCTTTCATCACGTCTCCCGTGTCACTGAGCTGTTTGTATGTGTTTGTTGACAGCGACCCAAACGCTAGCGGCGGCGACTCGGACCACCGTCCTCCGCTGGACCGGTGGCCGCCGCATTTAGCCACGGCGAAGAGCTACCTCACCCTCTCGGTCAACTCGTCAGCGGTCGGTGTGGGCCTCAAGACCCGGCGCTGCGCCTTCTGGCTCAAACACCTGCCGCGGATACAGGCCGCCACTGGTGAGAGATAGCACCAACCGCGGATATATGGGCAGCCACCGCACTGGTGAGAAATAACACATTTCTTCTATAAGTTCTTATCACGGTCAGAGACAGCGACTGGTGAGAAAGGATGCTCAATGCAGATACAGGCCGCCACGAATGGTGAGTCGGGACTCTGGTCGATGATGAATCGCAGTACAGCCTCTCTTCAGACTTGAACATACAGGGTGTCCCATAAGTTCGTTCTCACATTTTATTTGCATGTGAAACAGAGTACTTTGCTTTTTGATATATTTATGACCCCTCAATGTGCTCCCCATTTAATAGGCAAACACATGAACACATGCTGCGGCATGCCAACCGGCATGTTTGGCTGCATAGCAGGCTTAAAGTTAACCCAGACTGACTTGACATGCGCCGTGAGCTCCTCGAGGCTGGAACAGCGCTACGCTTCGACGAGCCTAAATTTCAGCATAACCAACAATTTTTTATGAAATTTTGATCCGATGAGGTGCCTGGCATGTGGTCTTGCCACAAACGCCTGTCACAGTCTCCTTCCACCGCTTTTAAGCTTTGCTTGGCCTGTGCACTGATGCACTGTCTTGCCTGAAGATGGGCCTACGACCTCTCGGATGCCATTTTCTCCTCTATAAATGTGTTCATACTCGCGGTTCGAGTTCAGCTTGAGGGCTGAAACTCCTCCTAGATTTTCTTGGAAGCATTATGCTTCCCAAAGCTGTTTCTGGGACACCAATCGCAACCTGGTCAGCGTCTGGACGCCTATAACCCCACAATACCGTGATCTTGGCCTTTCGCATAGGAACATAACGGGACGAAACGGAGGGCCTCCTCCTTCGCCCTTATGGGGTTGTTTTCGGGTTTGGACGGGTGTTTCATCTCGAACGTGGACTAGTTAGTCCAGATGACCTGGTTGATGTCCTCAGCCATTTAGTTTTTTTAGCCTCAGGCATAACGAAACTCATGTTTGGCCATTTTAAGACGTTTTTGACTGTTTTGAGCCCTCCGGTAAGCAAAGCTTAAGTCACCTTGAGTTATGTACCCCGTAAGAACAATTTTAGACAGCTGGTAATCCATCCTGAAAAGTCTGCTTACCAACTTTCTAACCCTTTGACCTTTTTGATGGCCACTTTGGCGCCACACAGTTTTGGCCACATGGCTCACTCCTGAGAGCTGACAAAAAAGAGGATAAACTTGCAATGATTGACTCCCGACAAATCATCGGTGTCACTTGCTGACTGTGCGTCCAGTTAGCGATGGACATTGTCTACAGACTGGTAGGCCTCAATCACCCTCAATCGTCGCGAATGGTCACGTGCTGACTAAATACCGAGACGTACCCGTATTGGAGACCTCTATGTTGCGGCGTTAGCCGTCTGTGTAGGAAACGGGCTCTCTAGCAAAAACTATTTTGTCTACAGAAATTAGTTACTGTGGAGCATATTTCTACCAGCCATGGCAACCACGTAAGCTCAATAACGAACCAATTTCAGCGTGTCTTTAAGCAAGAGAGCCTAAAAACGTAAAATTTAGGTGAGAACGAACTTATGGGACACCCTGTACCTATGCAGATTCACGGTGCGGTGGATTCATCAAGCCAGAGCGAGGGAAGACTGCCAAGTTTGGGTAACCGAACCACTTGACCAGGGGAGTGGATGAGGATGTCGGGGAGGAAGGGGAGGCTTTAGATTTAAACCGATTCGAACAGAGACTCGAACCGACTTCAGTCGTTCGCGTTGGCTTACCGGTACTCCCTTTCCTCGTTTATCGGATACTCTGAAGATGGTTTACATTTGGCATTTGCCTACATTACTTACTTATCTCGGCTGTAAATATGTCGCGACTAGGTAGGTAGGTAATAGCTCCTGTTTAAGGTGCGGGGAGTAATTGGTAAATAAGCATATAAAAACGGAGAAGAATAAAAAGACATGACAAAGAAGAAAATAACACCTCTCTTGACCCCCTACCTGGGTGCAGCTAATAGTGGTTGGTAGTGCTTTAGCGAATTGATGCAGCATTAACGGCAGATGTTCGTGCCACCTTCTATTATAACAAACTTTATGCTAAGCTCCGTGTGATATCAATTTCACTGCAAGTCGTCGTTACCAGATGATGCATTGTTATGCAACGGTCAAATTACTTCCAACTCCTTCCGGGCTATTGGTCATATGTGCACATTATTAGGCCAGTTAACCCGCGCCCCACTGGTGTCTGTGTATAACACGCCCTACTGGGGGGGGGGGGGCTATTCATAGCCCCCCCTCCTAACTCCGAAACTACTGGGCCGATCGTCAAAATTCAAACGGCGTCTGATAGCCCCGGAAAAACTGTCGAGCGAAACCTAATTTCATTGACCTCGAGGTCACCGATGACGTCACAGGTCAGGTTAAAGTAAAAATTATTAGCACTTTGGCTTGTTCACATTTTGGGCTCTGGCCGCCGTCTTACAAGTCAGATCAGGCTCATTTTTGGTTTCCACACTCGTGAACAGATGCTCTAAATACCTTGCGGGTACCAAACTTGTACTTTGATTTTCAGGTCAGGGTCAGGTCATCACAGGTCACGAAAATATTATATCATGCGTCGGTCACGTGACACATGTTTTATGGTCCATTTAGGCCATAGATTTCGAATTTGATGTCGTCTATGTCATTCGAGGTCATTTTGAGTCGAATTTAGCTTAGGTCAGGTCACTTTCAGGTCAAAAAAGGTCAAATTTTGAAGTTGAAATTTTTCAACAAAAAAGGTATCTATTGGATGCAGTTTGAGCTCAGGAACACGATGGTGCCATTTATATTGGTGTACGATGCCAAATACGTACTGAAAAATTGATTTGAAAAATTAATAATTGTGAATTTTTTGCAATAATGCGTATAACTTGGCCATTTTTGAAGATATTTAGCTAAAACTTGCTAGAGTTAGTCATAATCATGCGTTCTGTCACATATATTCCGGTTTTTTTCGAAAAGTCAAATACTTTTTGAAAAAAAATATAAAAATATAAATTTTGAATATTATTATATAAAATTTTCGAAATTTTCAAAATTTTGAAAATCCGAGATAGCAGTTTGATAGCGCGGTCAATTCTGAGTTCTTTCATGCAAAGAAATTGGATCTAGCTTAAAAACTGAGCTCTTGGGAGCGATTGCCGTGGTTCAATGTTTTGCGTCGAAATCGGACGAACATGACGTCACTCTGACGTCATTTCCGGCCGACTTATGGTAGGTACGAAGTTCAAATTTTGACACAAGGTGTCAAATTGATGCAGCCGAAGGTACTGAAAGTTTGGCGTCGATCCGTCAAGCGGTTTGGAAGTTATTGCAGAAAAACGGGAGGGGGGGCTATAAATAGCCCCCCCCCCCCCCAGTGGGGCGCGGGTTAAGTGAGCATGATGCGCGAAAGTTTCATGGTCAAACTATAGAGATTGGTGCTACTAACCCCTGGCGTTGCTTTAGTAAATTGCGACCACGTAATGACAGACCGTAAGATATATGATGACACATTCCCACTTATTATGTCTGCACGCATGGAACACTAGGCCTTTATTTCGACGGCTGAACTGCAGTGAGCTCCAACGGCGAGCTTTTAAGAGGATCCATTTGTCAAATGACCTGGAAAATTGATGGCTGTCTTCATCAATATTTCTTAGCATTCGCGTTCCAGCCTTATGCTGACCAAAGGTTTTCGCCTTTCCAAGGAACCTTGCCGCTCCAAGCTTCCTAGATTATCTGTGGCTACCAATCCCTAAAGTCATCCTTGTGGCCCAGTGCATTTTGAAGGTTGATCTCACCAACTTGAAGGTCGGTGTGCAGCGCTCCACAATGACCACCTGCAAAGTTACGACCCTGGTTTGTGCTTGCAGTGACGCCAACACAGCTATGTTCTGCTTTCTGAGCGTCTCCCGCCACTGACTTGTGCCCGTGACGTCACCACGGCAATGTGCAGCGCGGTGCTCAGTTGGCCGTCGGTCGGCGGAGTTTGCAGGCCGAGCGGCTCTGGGCGGCCATATATAGCGGCGGACGCGAGACAAATGCGCCACCCGCCGACCCCAGCTTCGTCGAACTGTCTCTGTATTATGCATGGCCGGCGCTAACCGCCGTCGGCGAAGCGGAGAACAATGTCGCCCCTCTCAGAGAGGGCAGTCTGTCGCCCGTCAGAGACGTCATTGCGGTCCGGCTAGACAGTGGACCGTGACGTCATTTGGAGCAAAAATAACACGCCAGTGTCGATACCTCGAGTGTCTAATGTCTACATCACTTTATACTGACAAGAGATGAGCCGTCACCGTCTAATCGAGACTGTCCATCAGTTTACAACTCCCGCTGGGCCCGGGCCTTTGGATGACCCGCTCGGCGGCCTCGTTCCTTGGATGTTTCACTCGGTGGCCCCCGCTCCGCCGGCCATTCGGTGTTCGTCGGGGGCTCATGACTCGTGCGACGTCCGCCGGCCGCTCCGTCTGTTATTCATGCTCTGTCTGCTGACCCCCGGCCCTCCCCCTGGCAACTGTCTGTCTGTCTGGCAGCCAGGGGTACTCTTGAACTTCGACTCTACCTCTCGTAGTAAGGCCCCCGTGCGCAGACTGGTGGCGACGCACTCAATGCCCCGGATCCCACAGCCAGCCTCCCATAGAACAGTGGCCTCGTCATGCTCCGGTCAGACACTGCGTTCCGTCGGACAGCTGCCTCTCCGCAACATGTTCTGCCTGGTGACCACGCTGGGTCGCCGCATCCCGTCTGGTGACCGCGCTGGGTCGCCGCGTCCCTCTCCGCGCGGTGGGTCGGTGGCCGCCGCGTCTCGTCTGGTGGTCGCGCTCGGCCGCCGCGTCCCGTCTGGTGGTCGCGCTCGGCCGCCGCGTCCCGTCTGGTGGTCGCGCTCGGCCGCCGCGTCCCGTCTGGTGACCGCGCTGGGTCGCCGCGTCCCGTCTGGTGGTCGCGCTGGGTCGCCGCGTCCCGTCTCCCCGCGGTGGGGCTGTTCCCGGCGGGTGCCATCAAATCGGCCGTGATTGCGGCGCGCCGCCAGCCCCATCGGCCGCCATTTCGGGGCCGGCGATTGCCGTTGATAGAGCCCGCCGGCCATCCCGCGGGACATTGGCCCCGCGGGAGGCATTAGCGGACGCCGTCCCGGCGCATCATCCCAAACAAGATGTTTATGCAGAATAACGGCTACCGTCTCCTACAGCGCGCGCTGCTGTGGGGTATACCTAATACCTATGATACACCAGATGCATTACACATTCATGTCAGTACTTTGCCAAGTCATTTGTTACGATTCAGTCATCGTCCTTCGTTGGATGACAACTTTAGGATTATTTCTTATAATATTATAAGAATATTTCCTTGCGTTGAATACTAAGGCGCATCTTTTACCTAAGATGTTGCACGTAGCGTCAAGGCATCCAGCGCCTCGCTCAACTTCTGTTCACTGTGCGCGCTATAGTTCCGATCCCCCAGGGTATATAGATTGTGCCTAGTGCCGAGCATGCTTCCTGATGATATGAATTCATGGTCCAATGCATCGCAAATTAGAGATCCTACGGCATAGGTCATAGCCGAATCACAACGTTCAATGCGTTCAATGAATAAACAATAGATTCGTTACAGGGACAATAAACTGCTGCAAATTCTGCTGAGGACAATCGACACTCGTCAGTCGATTTCTGTCAAACCTAAGGTTTCATTTATTAAGTAGGTGTTCATCTGATCTCAGTGCGACCTAGGCCCAAGGAGGAGATCTGTACATAATTTCGGCACTCCCATAGTCCCACCTAACTTCAAAATCGCAAAAATATTTTGAGCATTTATAGCACCTTTCCTAAAGAAAAATAACGTCATGAGACTTGTAATTAAACATTTTCATACCCATGTCAATGAAAATGATCCGCGAGAATTTCACCTCTGTCGGTCAGCGTTTGTCTGCGCTTTCCAAGACCCGTATATGGTCGGTTCTTTACTGTCAGCCTAGACACACACGCGGACAGATCGGAACATCCTCCCACCACAGAGCCGTCTCCGCACCCCTGACCATCAATCCCTCTCAGCACGGGCGCTGCCGACAATCCGTTGCTGTCGGCCGAATCCATGGCTGTCGCTATAGCGCAGCCTGTCCTCCATTCTTCAGTGTGATATCTTGCAGCCGAGCGTAGCCGATAACCTATCACCAAGAAAGATCCCGCGTGATGGCCTACATTCTATAGGCGTCGATGAAAATGGGTGAGCTGAAGATGCAATATATGTCCGATCGGTTACTTTAGCCCATTGAATTTCGATGGGTTGCAGTCGCGAAAAAGAACGAAAATTTCGATTCTGGGGCGGCAAAAGCAAGCTTGGAACACACCACACAGCTTTTTATCACTGATTATCTCGGTTCTGCTTCAACAGAGGACCATCCAAATACCCTTTAATGGTCCCGGTAGCCCTTTGAAGCGGCCCAGTCCGGGCATCGCGTGACTGCTAACGTCTCAGCGAGGCGCCGCTAATTTACAGCCGCATAAAAGGCCGTCGAAAATTGCAGATAAATCGTTCCGTTCAGGTGATACGTCCGTTATTCGTGTGTCCTCAGCAATGGTCCGGAGCGATAGGGCTCTGATGGCGTCGGTGCACCGTCGTATCAATATATATCGGTTCGGCGAGCGTCAACTTTTCACCGGTCGCCGCGTCCACTAACTCAATGTCGGTCAATTGCCGCTGCCACGTCGCGTCGGCGCCAACTTAATCCCGTAATCCAATAAAGCAGGCCCGGCATCAACTCTTGCTCGGAGAGTGGTTTTCGGCCCGGGGTCTCGCCGGCCGGTGAACTACCTGGAAAACGGTTGTCTGATACGACCGGTCGCAGGTCGACTGCCGGACGCCGGACCGAATGGCCAAACTATTTGGAGGAGCGAGCGCCGACTTCTACCGATGGCCGGCGCCGTTGCTTTTACGGCGTGAGAGTCGTATAACCTGAATGGCCCTCTGGGTCCAGCGACCCTAGAGGATCGTATCCATGGGTGCAATATCCCCGCATTGATGGTGCGCGTCACGAAAACAAGCGACGCGTATTGTTAGCGTGTCGTGACGGGGTTTACCCGCGAGAGGGGAGGGGAGAACCACGGACTCCGTGCAGGGCGTTTGCTCCGGCATAAGCACGCGGCTGAGGGCGAAGCCATTTAAAGTCGGTTCTTCGCTTGATAGTCCCTCAGCATCTGATTAATGCTAAAAGTTGGAACCATTAACCCTCGCCGGCCGAGGGGGGAGGGCGGGTGCCGCCCCCCCTATAGGTTTTCGCGATAGCTCCGAACACGCTGGCGATAGAGAGCTGAAACTTGGCATACCTGACCTTTGATCCAAGCCGCATCTTTTGACACCAACCGCATTTTTGGGTCAGGTCAGGTCACTGACCTATGACGTCATAAGTGAACCTCTGCACGATCTTCAGATGTCGCAACTTCGCAACGCCCTCACTGCCAGAGGAGATGTCACAGGGAAATGAAACTTGCAGGATCTAGTATCCATTATGAGTCTCACAACTTATATATCTCGGATTTTTCCTAAAGGTCATATGAGGTCAGGTCATTTTCGTGACCTCACCATTACCTATAAGTCAATAGGGAAAAGTGAAAACTGCTATTCTGGCGCCGGGAACGATCTCCAACTATCTCAAGCACACAGAATCGTGATTTGATGCACTCCTTGCAAGGTTAGATGCGTCACTTTTGCAATGTTGACCTTCCGTGACGTCATTTATGACGTAATCAAGGTCATATTAGTTTTTCGTCAATAACTCCCGATCAAATTGAGCTAGCGAGTCGAGAAAGCCACCAATGGACTCAGGAAGACCTGCCGAATCGAATGATATGCGACATGACCTCTTTCGACCAACTTCGTGACCTGGGGGTGCTGACCTGACCTTGACCTGAGGTCAACACCCTAAGTTGACCTGACCCGAACAAAAAGTATATCATTCGACGCGCCTGAGCGAGGCGAACACGATGCTGCCAAAATCGCGGCTCTGCGGCCGTTTTTGCGAAGTTATTCACCAAAAACTAAACCGTACCCTGGGGCACTTGACCTGACCTCAGAGGTCACCAGTTGACCTCGGACCTTAAAATCGGGTACCAATCTCTGCATCTCGTAACGGCGCACACGCTCGTTTTTTCCGCGACGCGCTAGCTCCACCAGGGGCGAAACGGCGAGGGGGGGGGTCGTACCCGCCCCCCCCCCCTCGGCCGGCGCGTATGTAGAAAACCAATAGGTCCGGCGAGGGTTAAGACTCCGTTGCTGCGGATAGCAAAGCCAGTTCTTTGGAAACCCACAGTTCCCACATAAATTTACAAAAGTGTACGGGCTACTACGACAGAACTAGAAGTTGTTCAAGCAGTGTTTCTAAGCAGTGAGATTCACTATCCCCTTAGCTGTTGCAGGTTAATAACGATGTTCTTTCATCCTTGCTAAACTTCTTTTAGATGGTGAGCTTATATGATCTATCAAACCCCTTTACGAATGAGCACTGAAACTTCAAATGCCTCACGGAATCAACCTAATCATTTACTTTTAAGTGCTCCCAGCGATGTTCATTAGCGCTACATGATCATCAAATATAATGCAATTGTTGAGTCGTGGCCGTCAGTTTTTTACCCAATGTATTATTGTAATGCCGTGGTGCCCCACCGATGACCGAGCCAGTCGTGCTCACTGCTCACTCACCCGCTGGAGCTAATCTGTGTCATGCCCTGTGACCCGCAGAGGGTGCCGCGGTGACCTGACCTGTGACTTGCAGAGGGAGCGGCGGTGACCTGACCTGTGCCCTGACCTGTGACCCGCAGAGAGGGAGCCGCGGTGACCTGACCTGTGACCTGCAGAGGGTGCCGCGGTGACCTGACCTGACCCTGTCCTGTGACCTGCAGAGGGTGCCGCGGTGACCTGACCTGACCCTGTCCTGTGACCCGCAGAGAGGCCGCCGCCGGCCGAGCGGGTGCAGTGCGGCGACCTGGCCAGCACCAGAGGCGGCTCGGCCGGCCGGCGGGCGTCGGCCGCCGTGCGGGCTCCCCTGCCGGCCCTGCTGCTGGTCCCCCTGCTGCCACTGCTGCTGCGGACGTGTACCGACACCGGCAGCCGGGGCCGCGACTGACGGAGGGGAGTCGGGACAGCGGCCACCCCGCGCTGCGAGATCAGCTGGGCTCCCCGCACCAGCTCCGGCATTTCTAGTGACTCGAATAGAGACACAGAATCAGACGATGGCCCATTTCAGCCCGTGTATTCCGGCCTACCCTGACATGACAGCCGGCCAACCGGCCGGGTCACGGGGGGTCGGTCAGGGGTCAAGGGTCGGTCAGAGGGTCAGGGCGCTCTGCACCGCCGCCAGCCGACAGACACGGTTCGCTGGGAGTGGCATACGGACATTGTATCCTCATTGCCCGCCGCTGACGGCCCACGGCCCCGTAAACGTAGTTCAAATGTTGTCACAGGGTCCGTCGAGCGGCCAGCCGCAGTGTGCCCTGGGGCCGCGTCCCGGGGGAGGTTAACGATCGGGAAGTTATCCGTGTCAGCGCCCGCCGGCTCCGCTGGTAGGCGTGCGTCTGTTGTGATATGAACGTTTTGTTTCAGTGGTGTCAAACTTTGCAGGGGTTGCGAATTTATTGTTCGTTTAAATGATCTACTATAGTCGTGTTGAATGTAACCGTAGTGTAGAAACGTCGCTTCGATCTTTACGAAATGATCCCGTTCGTTATCATTTTAACTCTATCTATCGAGAGGAAGGGGTGGATGCTGATTTGATGCGGCAAGACGCAGCAGCCATGTGACTATATCACGGTCATTTTGGCATCTCTTCCACATTCGAGCCGTACTCAAACTTCTTCATATCCTGTTCATGGGTGCATGCTCTTTGGATTCATATTCTCACTCATCGCAAAGGGCATGCATACAAGTTTAAGTTGATCAATTTCTGACCCTAAAATCCAGGTCAATTTAAAATACTTACGCATTTTTTGCGAAAACTGATCGTTAAAACCATTAATACCTAATACAAACACTGATTGATACACCGGGCCCCAAAGTGACCCACTTATTCATTCAGATATGTCAAGCCAATCTCGCTGCGATAGCACGCAGGCCATTTTTTGAGTGACGTCATTGGCCAACTTTTCCGTAAACATACATATCACAGATGGCTGTTGACTGTTATTGAGATGTTATAGATGTTATACCTATACGTCCATGCCTACATATCACCAGTTTGTTGACTAATCGAATGACAACAGTGAGCTGGCCGAAAATGTAGGTATTTAGTATACGTGGCTATTGAATATTGATTAGGTGCTGTTGATCGTTCTTAGACATTGACGCATTCGCGTAGTAGTAGCATAGACGTCGGTAAATTGCTCGTGAACGCTAATGAAAAAGCACAGTAGGTACATACCTATAATCTATATGTTGCAAAGTACGAATGCAATGTAGCCATGCAAGAATTCGGTGAACTTTTATATACCTTCACTTGTTTGTTAGCGATTAGCGAAGTCTGCCGTTTTGAATTTTCGTCGATAATTTGATCGCATGACTGGTCAGTAATTCGTCATTACTATGAGACGATAACAAGCAATTCTTCCTTCCATATCATGTTTCAATAAATGCGTGCATTGTTTGACAACCCAATCTCGACATGTTCGATGTATGTAAATCATTCTGCCAGCCATTCATATTTGACGTTCTAGGTGTTCTAGGGGTGGTGGTGGTGAAGGGGGGGGGGGGGGTAGGGTGTTTTCATGGTGCGGCTTGGGGGGGGGGTGTTGAATGCTGTGTATTTATGCCGTTGATTGACTGCTGGGGTTAACCGATAGCGTGATAGTGAATAATAAACAACAAAGGTAAAGCTGTTTCACTCCTTTTTATTGAACCACATCTTCGTCACAAACAACTGGCATATTTTTTGGCATTTTGGCATTTTCATTTTACATACTTTTAGCTGTATTTGTACACTTCTACGAGCATCACACACACAATAATCCAACCTGACGGCCGGAAGATAGACAACGACCGAGTAAAAGCAATTTCGCACAAATACATATGGATCTTTATTTCATAGGTCGCGACAATCATGTCATACATAAACATTTAACAAAGCGCACCAATGCGAGATTCAACGCAATCAATGACACCCCAGCTTCAAACGGGTGACATTCCGACTAGTTCCATGCCGAGAATAGCCCTTAAACGGGAACATTCTCCTAATCATTTGGTTAACCACTAGGCGCATTCCAGTCTAACTGCGATTGCAATTGCATCAATGATAAGGATGGGTAATATTTATTAACGCTCAACAACACATACACATACACATTACACAACGCTGAATCTACGGCTAGAGAGCATTGTGAAGAAGAACAAGTGTTGCTGCAAGATCAAGCACGACGTTCACAAAGATTCGACATCAAGCCACCGCATAATTCTCTCCGTTTATTCTGACTTATTCTAATTTGCCTACGTACTAACGCGAGGAAACTTATTTCATTATAACTTAACGAAAATAGCACCGAAATCAGGATAACGACTTGTTACGACTCGCCTCAAAATTTCCATGCAAAATGAAGTCAGCATTATTACCTACATCAACGTATCAAAAATACCCAGCAGTCGTCGACAACAAAAAGTACGCAGAATTGGTTACCAGGGGGTTGTCATCTGCCGGTTACCGTCCGCTGCCCGTGCGGGCCGCGAGTGTGTAGCGGCCGCCTATTGGCTGACGGGCCGCGCCTCCGGCATTGTCACGTGACCTGACCTGGCGAGGGGCGCGCGGAGCCCCTCATCGGGATTCTTATGAGAGCGGCGGCCCGGAAAGGCCGCGCCGCGCCACGGGTGAACATGTGACGGTGTAGTGGCGTGTTGTGCGAGGTGCCCCGCAATATAATGTGGAATATGATCAGACTCTACGGCCGACGGCTACCGAGACCAAGCCAGTCAAAGGTCAACAAAGCATTATGATGACGGTTTGATTTTAAGGAAGCCTCGGCGACGAAGGCCATTTGACGTTCATAACTTACTGTCCAGTATCAGAACAAGCAAAATTCGACAGTAAGAAATCGTCAGGGAACCACACGAGAAAAACGCAGCAAAGGGGCGGATAGGTACATGTGACGTCGACATCAAACTTGGTAGTCAATGAACATGTCACGCACACACAGATGTCGCAACTCGCAAGACGCAGCAAGACGAGCGCTGAATCCACAAGTCAACTACTTGGCTCTGTCAAAGTTGTCAGTAGTTGGCTCTGTGCGAATGTCAAGCACGTCGCTCATCACGGGCGATCTGGGAGAGCCCGAGGAGCCTGGGACCAGAGGTGAATGGACGTGCGCATCGGACTCGCAATATAGACGCCGAAGGTAATGAGACGTCTCTCCTCAACAATGAGACCTCGACGTGTGTCCGTGCCAATCAATATGCCCCCCCCCCTCTTTTTGGCATAAAGGTTAGTCACTTGTTTAGATTAGCCCTGCGCTCACTGGGTCCCGCTTGCCTACGGAGAATACCTAACATGATCATCTCCGTGTGGCTCGCCATGTGTGTTCGAGAGCAGAACATGCAGGTGCAACCGGCGCCGCACTGAGAATCTGCACCCCGATCGGTGGCACACGCGGGCCCAGAGCTGCTCAGCAGTGCCATCTACATTGCATTTCGCATGAGCGCGCCGCAGCTGCTGCCATCTGGACGATTTCGTTCGTGGAGGAAAATCATTGATGAAGCAGGGCTGAACAATGGACATAACAGCAAATGAGAGCGAAGTTGGTACGGGTAAGCGATCGCTGCGCAATGCAATTTGCTCCAGCGACAAGCAAGTGAAGGCGGACGACTTGTGTGCGGCGACATGCTGTTAGTTGGATAGTGTTTCGACGCGGCAGTCACCTCGGCTGCAGAGATAGCGAAGGTGTTTTTCTGCTTTTCAGGCGACATTCAGCTGATCGGGATGGTGCTTTTTACAGCTTATAAACAAAGATAACATTTGTTTACGAGGATATTCAAGAGAGCAGACGCCTATCCACAACGACGCTACGTGAGCGGTGATGAAAACAGACCGGGGCCAAGCGCCCCTTTCTGAAGCTGGTGTCTACAGCTACCGATGACTCTCATGCCTGCTCCAAGAAGCATCAGCATACACAAACACATACATGTGGCCAAACACTTCCAATCAGAGGGCCACAATGGGGCCAAGAAAGTCCAGCTCTTGTTGTTTGTTGTTTATTGGGGCTTTAGGGCGCGTCGACAGCAAAGGTCATTTTGCGCCCATAACGTCGCACTAGTAAAACAAGTGTTTCAAAAGAAGAGACCTTCTAGATACCAAGACTAGAAGGTAAAAGACTTGATAAAAACGACAAGGTATGATAGAACAACGCAAGAGCGTCGTAACAGTCAACTGACTAGACAAGTAGACTAGAGAGGATTTGGGTCAGGTCGAGTAAATCACTTGGAAGTTGACCGAACGGATAAAGGAGAAAATATTCCCGGATAAAACCCAGGGTGACTCATCACCCAGTAGGTGGCGGATAGTGGTACCAGGAGCAATGTAGCCGAGGTTGCGTGTCCGGTTCCGTTCAAAGAGTGGGCAAGATAAAAGAACGTGAGCGACGGTTAGAGGCACGGAACATGTGTTGCACAAAGGCTGCTCACCTCCTGAAAGGAGATAGCTGTGCGTCGCATATGTGTGGCCAATACGGAGTCTGCACAGGACCACTTCCTGGAAACGATTGCCTTGCAGGCAAGACTGCCAAGGCTCTAGAGTTGGTTTCAACTCTCTCAGCTTGTTCATTACACACAAATCCCACTCTGCCTGCCACTTTGAAAGCATGAAGGGTCGCACCAGCGGATAAAAATCCCGGGCAGGCAAAGGCAAGCGCCGAGTGCAGGGTGCTGCGGCGGCGCGTCTGGCAGCAGCATCAGCAAGCTCATTGCCTTCAATGCCGACGTGACTGGGAATCCAGCAGAAACGGACTGATTTTCCAGATTGCTCCACCGACGTAAGCCGAGTTAAAATGTCCCGCACGATGGGGTCAACCGAGTTAAAAGTACGTAAGGCCAATAAGCTGCTAAGAGAATCAGATAAAATCAAGTAAAAGGGACTGCCAGAAACCTCGATGAAACACAAAGCCTTCTCTATAGCGACTAGCTCTGAAGAAAACACCGAGGCGGAAGGTGGCAGAGAAAACGAGCGGGTGTCACGACCAGCGACAAAAGAGCAGCCCGCTCCCTCGGTTGTCTTCGAGCCGTCTGTATAAACCGTGATAAAACCATCATAAGCGGCAATGTGCTCTAGGGCTCTGGCTCGCGCCTCAGCAGGCAACAAGTTGTCCTTCTTAACAGTCGATAGCGAGAGGTCCACTTGCGGATTGGCGTTTTTCCAGGGTGGAGGGGGCGTGTCCCAGGTGCGCCGAACGCCACGCAAGGATATGTTAGCAGCTGAAAAAAGACCTCCCATGCGTACTCCAAACGACGGTCGTACCCTCCCGTCATATCGAGTAGCGTTACGTGAAAAGACGTACGGGTACGTCGGATGCGTTGGGTATTGGCGAAGTTTCAAAGTGTAACGCATCCCCAGCATCTGGCGACGAAGAGCTAGAGGTGGCTCATTCGTTTCAGCCAGAAGGCTGCTCTTTGGAGAAGTGCGGAAAGCCCCGGTGGCAACGCGGAGCGCAGCGTGATGTACTGCGTCCAGGGACTTCTTGCTGGACTCACTGGCGGAATCGTAAACAAAACACGCATAGTCCAGCTTCGATCGGATGACCGGTACAAGAGGAGTAGAGTTTTGCGATCCGCACCGTATGATGTGCGGGCAACACACTTTAAAACGTTCAGGGATTTAAAACATCGTTCCCGAAGCGTTCTAAAATGCTCTCTATACGTCAAACGTCCGTCAAACGTCACACCAAGAAACTTCGCCACCGGCTGCGTGGGGATCGTCTGTCCGTACAGACGGATACCCAATGTAGGGTCGGCGCAGCGGCGGCGACAGAAATGCATGGCAACAGTCTTCCTTGTTGAAAAGCGGAGACCATTGTCGCGGCTCCATCTCTCAAGCCGTCTGACTGCAAGCTGCAGTTGTCTGGCCATGTGCCGAGCGCTGGAAGCGGCGAACCAGATGGCGAAATCGTCAACAAAAAGCGATCTGCCGATAGAGACCGGGAGATCATCAGCGATATCGTTAATCGCCACTGCGAATAACGCCACGCTGAGCACCCCTCCCTGAGGGACTCCCTTGTCTTGGATAAAACTGCTAGACAACTGGTTACCGACTCGGACTTTAAACCGACGACCCGATAAAAAGTTCTCGATAAAGAGGCCCATCCGGCCGCGTATGCCGTACTTATATACTTTGGAAAGTATGCTGTGTCGTAAGACTGTATCATAGGCCGCCTCAATATCAAAGAACAGTACTCCAAGGTGCTTCTTTTCAGTAAAACAGGTGCGTATCTCGGTGTCAAGGGCTAAAATGTGGTCAACAGGGCTGCGGTGCTTTCTAAAACCGCACTGGGCGTTTGTAAAAACACCGTGATGTTCCAGAAACCAGCTAAGACGCACATTGACCATCTTCTCCATCAGCTTTGAAAGCGATGATGTGAGAGAGATGGGCCGATAGTGGAGAGGGTCATGTCCCGACTTGCCAGCCTTCAAGATAGGAATGATAGTGGCTTCCCGCCAGGTCTCAGGGAAAGTGCCAGTCTCCCAAAGCGAATTGAAAGTTGCTAGCAGCGCCTCGACGGCAACCGCCGGGAGATGACGGAGCATGTCGTTGTGGACAGCATCCGGACCTTCTGAGACGCTGCGCAACGAGCTGATGGCAGACGTGAGCTCAGCCATAGAGAAAGGCTCGTTGTACACCAAATTTTCAGCTGTGCTGAAGTCCACGGCGGCTGGTGCAGGTCGTGAGGACGGCTCTCCTCGGCAGCGCTGATAGAGTGCACGGCCTATCGTCTCTGCGACGTCTAAAGGGTGGGATATGTCCGTGTTGTTCACTCTTAAAACCGGAAGCGGAACAGAGCTGAACCGGCCTTCAATGCGCTTCATGCGTGCCCATATCTGGGTCGTAGGAGTAAAACGGTTTAAGGAACTCACGTACGTGCGCCATGAAACAGCCTTTGCCTCTTTAAAAACGCGACGGGCAAAAGCCCGCGCTTTCTTAAAAGCGATGAGGTTCTCAGTAGTACTACTCCGGTCAAACTTTCTGTGGCGTAGTTAAGTTATAGCGGACTATTATGGCGCGGTCGGTAGGACAGTGTGTTGGAGTCAGTTACCGGGAGCGGACGCAATAAAGGAGAGTGCACGTCAAAAAAAAAAAAAAAATGGTTGAGGTCAGTGGTCTCGAAGCTTCAAAATTGGAGGGTAAGTCAGGTACAAGTTGTTATGGTGGAACACTTCTCGGCGTCATTCATGACATTGATTATGACTATTATGGTGCGGTTATACACACGTCAGATCCGGTAGAAGAGATTCAATACCACGTAGACCATTATGATAAATGGGTAGACATAGATAGGTCTTTTGGCGAAGAGAAAGGGAGGATAACTTATACTCTATGTTCACAAACCGCATTGACTTTCATGTGTCTGCTTTCAAGCGTTTTCTCTTGTGATGTGGTTAGTGAAGCTTACGGGACCTATCTAGTTAACGAAATTCAACAACTTGACTGGCCAACAGGAGAGACAGAGTGCATGGTACCTCCATGCATTGGTTGTTCTGACTTAGAATGCGGTGCTGGTTACGATCTTGCGACATGGCAGTACATATGTAGCCAGGCTGATTCTTGTATCGAAAACGAAGCCTTGGTTATGTTATTTAAGTCAAATTACTCCATCGATCTGGACTGTATGTATGACATGCCACATCATCGCACTAGGCGAGATACTAGTAGTAGTGAAGGAATCCTTGTGCGTTTGTCAAACAAACTCGGATTTGACATGTCTACGGCTAAAGAGAGAGTCATAAGCTTCAAAGATAAAGTAGTAGAGTATTCTAAGAATTCAATTACAATCATCGTGATAGTTCTGTTGTTTTGGCTTTCTCTTACTCTGCTTGGTGTTAGTCCTGTAGTGTCCATGATCTTTATTTTACTTTCTTTTTACATTTCTAGTGTTCAAGGCGTCAGCATTGCGAAGGATAGGACGAATTGTCGAGTTGAGTACAACAAACCAGATCTGACTGTGCGCTCTGGGTGCGCGACAAACACTAGAATGTTTAGTGGTGTTGTCTTTTGCAACAAAACAGGTGTTTCGGGTTGTGGGTGGTATATGATCTTTGGTAATTTCAAGCGTGACATGAGAACGCGAGCTGTAACCTGTGTGTCTAACGACCAAATGAGTTTTTGGATTGAGCAGGTGCGTGTCTTGTGTTGTGTGCACGGTAGGGCGAGCGGCCCTTGCTGTGTGTACGACTTGTCTGTGTCTTTCACCCAAGGTTGTGGTGGGACATTTTTGTTTTTGGTTGTCGTTTAGCAATAAGCTTTGACGGTAAATTGTAGTGTATACTGTGTTTGTTAGATGTAAGTACAAATAGTTAGCATAGTGTTTCTTGCGCGTTGTTGGGCAGGTTGTCCTGACAAAGTGCAAAGCTCAATTGATCCAAGTGAATTGTAGTGTATACTGTGTTTGTTAGAAGTAAGTACAAATAGTTAGTATAGTGTTTCTTGCGCGTTGTTGGGCAAGTTGTCCTGACAAAGTGTGAAGCTCAACTGATACAAGTGAATCGTGCAATTTGTGTTTCGTGTTTATCAGAGAATCTCCCTTTGGTTGTGCACGGTATATAGTATTTGTTAGACTTAAGTACAATAGTTCGTGTAGTGTTCTTGAGAGTAAACTGTCTTTCACTGGTTGTGAAAAGCTAACAAAATGACAAAAAAAACCGTCCAGCGTCGCGTTGTAGGTGATAGTTTGTTTGAGTTCGTGCTTCCAGCTCGTTCTCAGGGCGTGATTAGTAATAAGGCGAAAGTGTTGTGTGACTTACCGTATGTGACACTTGATGACGACCGTGTGCTTGCCGAGGAGCACAATGACAAACTTTCCCGGCAAAGAGACGAGGCGCAAAAGCGCAAGAGCGGGCGAGAGTTCCGCTGGGGTGCCGCGGTGGCGAAGCGGAAAATCGAAGAAGAGGCGTGCGAGCTGTACGACCTGGAGAGAGAGTCTGACAGAGCTCGAGCTCGCCGCCTCCGCCAGTTCCAGTATGACTGGTTCTTTTCTGCACGTTGCGGCGAGCTTGATGCCCTCCTGGCTGTGGAGGCCAAGCGTCAGGCGCTCATTGACCAAGAGATTGCTGACCTTGAGCGGATTGGTGCTCACCAACAGGTCGAGTTGGCCAAGAGACGTGAAGATGTCCTCTTCTCTGAGAGGCTTGGAGAGCTTGATGCTCTCATCTCGGAACTAGAAGCCGAGCTGAGCTTCATGCAAGGCCAGCATGATGCACTTTACTGCTCAGAAGAGGCAGTAGAAATCGACTGTGACGTGAAGCGCGGTGAGTTCCTTACCGTGTCGACGGCGTACGACGAAACCAAGCGCCTCAAGAAGGAAGTAGCCAGGCTACGCCATGCCCAGAAGAAGCGAGGGTACTATGGAGTGAACGATCAGGGCTGGTTTATCGTTTGTGGCAATACTCAGCCAGAGAAAGAGAAACACGTGCGTCTGGGCACATACAACAAATTTGACGTGCTGAAGTGCCAGCCTCTCCCTGACAGCGACGAAGAGGCCGATGTGCCTAAAAAGAAGGAAGAAAAGCGCCGGCGCAGGATTCGCCACAAGCCAAGGGAGGTCGACAACTTTGATGAACTGCTGGCCGAAGCCGCAAAGTGGGATGCCGAGTGCAAAAAGCAAGGTGCGCCCCTGAGACCGTCCAAGGCTGCGTACGAAGCACTCGCACAGAAGCGAGTGAACTCATTTGGTACTCGCAGCGGGGAAGTGTGGGAGTCACTGTTGACAGCCCCCAAAGACGTCACGGTGGGCGGAATGCTGACAGAAGCCAACAGCCCCTTCGGAGAAACAACGAAAGAAGAGAAATTTAGAAGAGCATTTGGCAACCAGGGAGAAATTTTGTACGAAAACGGAAAATGGTACCTGAGAAGGTGCAATCATGTCCTGGGTACAAGTGTTCAAAATGGGGATGTGCAGTGGTTTGTCCTTACACTTCGAAAGGGAGTTGCCGTTAAAACTGAAGTGTCAGCTCCGCGTTTTGGATGTTACTACGAACATGGAGTCATGATGTGGTACCAAAACAGATCTGAGCGATGTGGCTTGGTTGAGGTCAGTGGTAGTATTCAGCGAGAATATTCGCAGCGAGAGTATTCATGTTGACATGATGTGTGGTTGCCTCGTTTTGTGTTGTTTTGAAAGTGTACCGTTAATGTTACTCAGGAGGACCATCCTGTAGGGGCAATTTCTTTAGGGGGGAGGAGTGTGGCGTAGTTAAGTTATAGCGGCGTAGGCGGTGGCTCCTCGGCCCTTGTGGCGCGGGCCCGACCGCGGGCGTAGGAACCGCGACGCCCGTGGTTTATGGCGCGGCCCCGAATGTCAGGGGCGTGGCCCTGCGCGGCCGGCGCGGTGCTGGGTCGCCGCCGAGAGGCGGTGAGTGTGTTGGAGTCGGTGACCGGGAGCGGACGCAATAAATGAGAGTGCAAGTCTGAGGACTGTTGGCGTCGGAGACAACAACACAACATTTCTAAAAGCGCGCTTCCTGGCACGAATCGCATCTCCGCATTCCTTGGTCCACCACGGGACCGGAGGACGACGAGGCTGACTCGACGTCTTGGGTATGCACCCGTTTGCGGAGTCAATAAGTAAACATGTAAAATCATCTGTAGACATCACAGAGGCGTCGGCTCTGGATAAAACCGTGGCCTCTACGGCGGCCTGGAATTCGCCCCAGTCGGCCTTCCGAGCATTCCACCTAGGTGGGCGGTTGCCTGACACTGGGGACTCCTGGTACTCCAACCACACTGGGAAATGGTCGCTCCCGAGTGGGTCGTCATGGACGGACCAGGTAAAAAGCTGAGCTAGCCGAGGACTGACTAAGCTCAGGTCCAGAGCCGATGTTTGACCGGAGGGCGTTGTAAAATGAGTGCGCTGTCCTGTATTTAAAATACAGAGCGCCTCATCGCGGATAAAAGATTCTAAAAGCCGACCACGAGTGCCAGTCGTGTCGCAACCCCACGCCAAGCTATGGGCGTTAAAATCACCGACTACCAGGACTGGAGGTGGAAGCTCATCGACAAGTCGATGTAGCTCAACCACCGGGAGCGCTATACCTGGTGGAAGGTATAAAGAACAGACTGTCAGCTCCCGGTGGTTGAAATCAACTCTAGCGGCCACTGCCTGCAGAGGGGTCTGCAGCGAAATGTGGCGCGCAGGCACACTGTGGTGCACTGCCAAAAGTACACCTCCATGGGCAATGGTCATGGTGTCTAAGTCTCTTCTAAAAACAGAGTAACCCTTGATGGCAAAGGTAACGTTTGGCGCTAGCTTGGTCTCCTGGAGACCTAAAACAAGGGGTGTGCGCCAACGGATAAGAGACTGTAGGTCCTGGTAGTTGGCCCGGAGGCCTCTACAGTTCCACTGTAGTATAAAAGGCGTGGTTAAAAGGGCGCAAAAAGGGCGCGTATAACATGAGGCAAAGGCGCACACAGATACCTGACTGACCACAAAAAAGGTAAAAAGCACCGAGAGAAATGCACCTGGTAAAAAAGCGCAATAGCGCGAAAAAGATAAAAGGATAAAAGAGGAAATGACTAGACTGAAAGACTAGACTAGGTCCTCTAACTCCGAGGAGGCGCTCCCCCCGTAGCGGATACGGGGATGCCCCGAGCCCTCTCGGTGTAGCCTCCCTTCAGCAGAGGCAGATCGGGCGTGGCTCGAGCCCTGCTGGGGCTTTTTCGCCCGGGGGGCGTCACCCTCCGAGGGCGACCAGCTCGGGGGCGTCTGCCGCTTGGCGAGGCGCCCTGGAGCCGCGGAGGACTGTTGCCGCCCCGACGGGGATGTCGAGGCGGCGGCCTGTGTCCTCGACACAGGCGTCTCTGGCAGCGGCGGTGGTGGCCGCCGCTGCGGAGGTGGAGGAGGCGGCGGGGGACCCATGATGGGCCGAGTCCCCGCCTCAGGTGTCTCCGGGGTGTCAGCGGCGGCGGCCGCGTTGGCACTCCCGGAGGCGGAGTCGGCAGACGAGGCTTCCTTAGCCTCGAGGGCCTTCTGGACGAGGCGAGCCCTCCTCGCCTCACGTGCCCTCCTCTCCTCCTCCCCCCGCCGCAGAGCCTCCTGCACCGCCGTAGACGGTCGGGGGCGGGGCGGGGTGGGTGGCGCCTTACCCTGCGCCGGGGGGCGCCGACCACCCTGTCGGCGCTGGACGACGGTCCACTCGTCTCCACTCGCGGCTGGAGCCGGACTGGGTGGACCCCACACTGACTCCTGAGCAGCCTGCTCCGTGTCGCTCGGCGGCGCACGAGGCGCCGGGGGGTCCGCTGAGCCATCAGTGGCTACGACAGTGAGGCCGAATCGCTTGAGGAGCTGCACGAGCTGTGCAACACTCATCTGGGAGGCATCGGTTGAGTTTGTCACTCTCACCTTTTGGGCATACGAGGTCTTCGGGTGAGTTTGGTTATACACCTCCCGGGCCTCTTTAAACGACAGATTTCTGGTAGCCTTGATGGTGTTTATCTCCTTTTCTTTGACGTATGTAGGGCAGGACCTGTCATACGCGGAGTGCGGTGTCTGCCCCTCTCCGCAGTTGACGCATCGAGGGGTCTCCGAGCTGCACGTGTCGTCAGTGTGGTCCTGGGAAGCACACTTGGAGCACACGGGTTTGCCTCGGCAGTTGTCCTTCGTATGACCAAAACGTTGACAGCGGAAGCAACGCATGGGAGCCGGGACGTAAGGGCGCACACGAACCCTCACGTACCCCACGCGAACCTCGCTCGGCATGTCGGTGGAGTCAAAGGTTAAGATAATGTTATTCGTGGGGACCGTGCCTCTCCTCGCCAAGATGCGGTGTGCTGCTGTGACGCCAAAGTCGGCGAGGCCGTCTGCGATGTCGTCATTGCTCACGTCTCTGAGGTCAAAGCAGTTGATGACCCCTCTGCTCGAGTTCTTTGACCTGTGCGGCTCAACTGAGAGAGGGACAGAGACCAGTTTCCTGCCGGAGGCCCGTCCCTCGGTATACACAAATCGGGTGGCGCTTAAGGCTTTTGCAGCCTCCTCACTTTTCTCGAATTCGACTTCCAAAGCCCCATCGCGCATCCGATCGCAGCGGAGGATCTTGCCGAGGCGGTCGCAGCCGTCCTTCCGTTGGAAGGGGGACAGCGCACCCAGCTGTTTGTCACTGCTCCTGAGGATGAGGATCTTTGGGTTTCGAGGAACCTTCTCGTGCGACGTTCGCCCGCCGGCCGAGGCCAACGGGCGAGAATCGGCCGAAGCCGAGGGGTTGGATTGAGGGGAAGGGGGGTTGGTCCGGTCATCCATGTAAGTGTGCTTGGTCTCCGCCAGCTCGGCCGCCGACGCTCCGCAACGGCGCCGCTACAAGGCCTGGGACGGCCGAGCTGACTGTACGGGACTTGGCGGCACCTTCCGCGGGGGAGAGAGAGACTCACCACCCCCCACGGTCGGATACCGCCTCCTCCCTTGACGCCTCGCCGAGTCACCGCCAGGGGCAGCGACAGATCAGTCCCACCGACGGAGGACGAGCACAAGTGCCCGAACCCCGCCGGCGACACCTCTCCGACACCACCCCCGGCGGCATCACGACTGGAAATGGCTCCTCAAGTGCGGCGCCCCACTGAGTGTCCCGCCCTTACAGAACTCAGGGCCAAAGAGGCGTGTTGCCCAGCCACCGCGACTGGCTCCGCACGGTGGGGGGCTCAACCTCCAGGATCCCGTTGTCCTGGGGTACGGGTCGGCTCGCCTAGCCTAGTAAAACCGGCTGGTACCCGAGGGGACGCCACTCCCCTTACACTAGCCCAACTCGGCTGTGTTCCTGCGGGTGCAAAAACCACGAAAAAGGGGTAGGAAAGGAATCAGAAAGCTGTGTTCGAACGAAACGCGGACATCCGGTGAGAAGCAAAGCAAAAGAAAACAAAGACCACTCAAGAGAAACAAAAACACGAAAAACCAGGAAAAGTCGGGCCGTACCATCTGTCCATCCAGCGATCAAAGCAAGTCGTAAGCAAGCATGGGCCAAGCTGGGGCCGAGGGGGCGCTACTCCCCTTGCTGGCCGAGACCAGGGCCGCCGCGGGGCAAGGGCCCAAGGAACCCAGTCCAACAGCGACCCGGGCCACTGCCAACCCCCTGCGGGGCCAATCCTGCAGACAATCCATCCAGTAAGCAAGGCAAGTCCAGGTCAAACGCGCGTCAAGCTGGGGCCGAGGGGGCGCTACTCCCCTTACTGGCCGAAGTCACAGCCGCCGCACAGCCGGAGCCAGATGATCCCGGCTAAGCAGCAGCTCCGACCACGGTCAGCCCCCTGCGGGGAAAGTCCAGCTCGAAAGAGAAGAGCGTGACAAAGCACACACAGATGCCAACAACAGTGTGACATCTCAAGTTCTGGCGTACAGCGTACCTATTTCTTAAAGTCACTCAGTCATCTTCTCTTCGAGGAGCTGATTGTGCTGCAGCATCTCAATGACACTGCCATGGGCAACATTAACCATTCCCGAATGATGATGGACACAGCTCGAACTGCGTTCTGTGAGAGCACGCTTACAAAAGTAAAAGAGCATGCTGATAATCAGTCATGTGTGGCTGTGCTTGTGGACAAGGTCACCGTGGCGAGGAGGATAGTAGACATCACCGCCATCCTCACGCTCGTGCCGGAAGCTGAGCCCGGCCACCTGTTTCAAAGTCTCGTGTTGGACGCACCAGTGCAAGTGGTAAAAAATCATAACGGTGACGCGTTAGCAGGTGACATACACGAGTCGCTGGCAAAGGTTGATGTGACCAGCGCCAATAAGGTGGCTTCCATAGCAGCGGATGGCCAATATCATCACAACCACGTCCTACAGGTGTCTCAGCTATTGGACAAAGAAGACGACACCGCTGTCCCGGCTCTAGGACGCGGCCCATCTAATGAGCCTAGCGGAGGGAGATGCTCGGAAGGATGTCAAAGGCAAAGTCTCCTGACCATGTTCTCCGGGGAGTGGCAACAAATACTGTTCATGGTACGGGAAGAAACCCGCCACTTACGGGCGGCTTCAGGGTGATGCAGAGACGGATGACTACACCCACTTCCTGGCCGAGCTCGGCTCGGATTGTCTCCAGTTTGTTCACTGAGGCGAGTTTCGGCAAACCCCACACAGTCCAGCTGCCGCCAGCTGTCCTGAGTCCGGCACGAGCTGGTGGAGCGCATATATGTATCCTGAACTGGCCCAAAATCTCCCAACAGTTTTCAGCTTACACGCTTAGACGAGTAGCTCCCGCTGCAAACGGGTGCGGCGCAGTCGACATAAGCCGGGGGTGTCCGGCGACACACCGTGCCGGGAAGAGCCGGAAGAGCGTAACATCAACCTGAACGCGACGTGAACTGATTACTCATCGAACAGCGCCCGGTAAATATCAACTATTCCCAGCGCCAACGCGAAGAGATGAGGACCCTTCTGCTGGCGGTCGAAAGCCCCCACCCCCATCAAACGACAGAACAGGCATGTCACTATCAACGACAAGGAAATGATAATCATTATGATTAACCAGCTTTACGCCCAGCGGCGGTAGAATATATGCTGCGCGGGATCATGCCACTGGCTGCAACGTGGAGCCAAATTATCGCAATTGTCTTCACGAGACAAACCTCGAAAGCTTGTGACAGGCAACTGCAGGAAGAGCACGACGCAACAAATGCCTTCGCTGACAGCCACGGCGGCCCATTTCTGCTGGAACTGCACCTCCTGTCCTGCTATTGACCCTGGCAAACCAAGATACCATACGAAGCATCGGGGACAGGTTTGATCGCACCAAATCGAGCGTAATCCGTGCGAACAGGTTGACAGAGGAGGTGTAGGCGATCTGTTAAAAAAGCACGTCCAACGAAACCGCAGCTAAGTGTCATGGACTTCGAAAGGAGCACATGAATAGTGTGGGCCATCGATAGCTCTCAGATACCGATCTCCTAGCCAGTTGAAGACCAAGAGGTGTACGTGAATACGAAGGGATTCCATTCGATGTTGCGTGGCGACATTCATCTGATCGAGATGCACATCTGTGGCATGATCCAACAACATCTGAATTCCTGCAGTAGCTTAACTGCGTGTTTGATTTTCTGAATGCCCATGGACCTATATGAAACGGGCCTTCATGGCCGGCAACATCGATGAAAGGAGAAAGTTCTTCACGAAATCATTGCTGGGGCGCTGGATTGTTCAGGTATGAAACATAAATCGTTGCCACTTACTTCACTGTTGCCAGCTTGTTTCGTTTTCGATATTTTAGGGGGGGGGGGGGGGGCAGGTGTCAGTGGGCGCCCCCCGCAGTTGCGCGGTCTAACTGCACCTACTTCTGCAATAATAATAATAATGCCCTTTATTTCGTTCCATCCTTGAAACATATGTGAGCACACATGAAACACACACCACACCAAAACAGTCCCATACTTGGTACGTCAGCGCTCAACAATGCGCTTTAAAGGAAGGGTGCCACCTTCCGAAATTTTTGTTCTATGAATCTATTTTACTTATTTGAATTTTTAGACGTGGTTAGCGCGTCCACAATATACAAAAAACCGAAACATTGCATTTAATACATTGGCCAAAAAAAAAAGATCGTTGTTTATATCACCACTACAACTCAAGGTCGTTTGATGTGGCAGCTAGGACGGCTGGCATATCCTGTTGTCATGGCAACATATCATTCTGCCATTTGCATTGATGGCGCAACTGAGACAAAAAGATGAACAAATAAAAAGAAAGAAGATAACATGATTTGAACTAAAGGTTTCATCAAAAGAACATCAGAAAGAACATCAGAAAAGAACATCAAATAAGTCGAGTAAAGGTTTTTCCTTTACAATGCTTAAGAGATCTATGGAACCCTTCACCCTTCATGCAACTTACTAGAAAAACTTCCCAATTAAAATTTTAAAACTTAAGTGTATACCATAAAGAAAAAATATACCCTTTCAAAATGATAAAACATGCTTCAAAAGTATAACTTTTATACATACCTTTGCTGATTTCATGTTTTATAAAATACCCTTAACACGACGAGGAAATAGTGCTGAAGATTTTTGCCTGCCAAAATGCTGGCAGCAAAGCTGGCAAATGATAACTTCACGTGCGGATTCAATGCTGACCGTCTCGAGCATAGGTAAGTGAAGCCGGTTTTTAGGTTCATGTGAGGCTAATCTTGTAAAAACTGCGTTGTGTCCAAAAGGTGGCACCCTTCCTTTAACTGTAACTTTAACTGTGACACATTTACAAGATCAGAGCGACTCACAGAACTGATCGAGGCCCATGAGACCATACTGCCGGAGTAGACACTGGTAGTCTTGGATCAGGATGCCTCCACGGCCAATCTCACTTGACAGGACCGCTTTAATCATAGCATTGTTGCTGCACAGCAGTCTTTTATAGAACATAATCTTCCTATTAGCTATAAGCATTGGACATGTAATAATATTCAATGAGTAACAGAGAGGATGATTTCTATGGGATTTAGGAACACCGACCAGTTTTTTCACACACGAGTGGTAAGCCACACACAATGCACGATAAGCCACTTTAGCACGTGACGAATCCCAAAGTTCACAGCCATAAAGGTTTGTACCATAGGCCTTGAACAGTTTAATCTGAATCTCACTGCTTGCCTGCCCCACCAAAGCACGAAGCATATTGACATTATAGTACAGCGACCTCTTGGTTCTCCTCATATCACCACTGTCATTTAGGTCAGGTTCCAGCACGTGGCCAAGGTATTTAACCTGGGTTACCAGAGATAGTCTGGTACCATTTAAGGTAATGCTAGGAACCTGAGAATTGGATAAATGTGCAGAAGCAACACATTCCTTAGGATTAAAAACCATGCACACAGTTTTTTTAGTATTAAAACTAATATCTCTGTCAATGGCGAACCTTTCACACTCATTAATTAGCTTTTGTAGTCCAGCCCGGGAAGGCGACAAAAGCACAAGATCATCTGCATATGCCAAAACATTAATGGGACGATTTCTAACATGACAGCCGATCTGAAGCTGCTGCAACCTTTGGAGAAGATCATCAATGTAAACATTGAACAAAAGTGGAGAAAGATTACCACCCTGTCTGACTCCATTGGTGACTGCAAACGACTGCTCTCAGCCCACTTAACTATGCTAGCAATGCTAACTATGCTAACTATGCTAGCTATGCTATGTAAAGAACATTATTAGTAAACCGCCGGCGCCCAAAAATAATCCAAGTATTGAGGCTGGCTTACCAATGATCTGCCTCACTCTAGTCTTTTCCCAGACACCATCAGTCTAAGGCCTGCAGCTAACCATCGCCAACGTGCTGTCCATCTGGGACCAGTATGAGGAAAAGCCGCTGGGGTATTTGCTGATGCGACAACTGAACCCAGGACGCTTTAAAGAACCGATCCGGTGTCATCCGAATGAAAAATGGCCTCAACGAGATGCCGGACCCGGTGCAGTTTCGGATGGCGCTACGGCAGTGTGCAGTTACTAGATTGATGGCCCCGACTACAGCAAACAGCGAGGTGGATGGTCTTGGTCTTTGTGTCTGTCGGCCGTGCTGGAGATGTTTCGAGGCTTGAATCTCTCGTGGTTTGATTGAGATGACGTCGACATCTGAATCGCCTCCCTATGCGGGGAGGCAGCGACGATAATCTCGAAGTACTTATAGGTGGCGTCCTGGTCCAGCCAGTACGAGTGTAGCACGCACAGGGCGTTCAGGCACAAGCCTGGTCGCTCTGCGCTGCACTCTCTCGATCTATTTTTGGTCTGCTTGGTTGAAAGGTCCCCAAAGGTTCCCGTACTCTAAGTGAGTGCACCAGCATCTTACAGATGAGGGGCAGGGTCACCTCGTCAATACAGCAGAACAGCCTCAGTTCGAGTTCTCACCAGTGCGAGAATCTGGTTCCCCTTCGCGGCTCCTGAGTCTAGGCTCCTCTTGTGCATTTTTCATGTGCTACAGACAGTTTGGCGGTGGTTGTTTGATGCCAGACATGGCATGGCAAAGGAGGTTGGTACGAACTCCCTGCCACAAAAAAATGCCGGGAAAAATGTTATTGAAAGCTGCTGTAACTAGGCCGTCAGCGTTCATGGGTCACTACACAGTGAAAATCAGTATAGGTTATGGCCGCACTGCTTACTTTTAACTTGCGTATGATCGCGGTTATGCTTTATTAGTATGTTTTGTTCACTCATGGGTGTCATTCATGGAACATTTTATCAATAAATATCCCATTTTAAACGGAAATATCCATAGTTCACTTCAATAGCTTGGTTCGTGTTGAATAAGGATGTCTAACGGACTATGCTTCGTTGTGCATAAGGTCCTGCATCGGCCGGTTGACCAGCATGTGCTAGTTCTATGTAGCAACGCATGTTCTGCGTGTCCAGCATTGGCAGGCTCTGATGTCGGCAACGAAAACCCTGGTCTATGCCGACTCGGAAGGCTGCGCTGGTCTCCCGGATGGAGGCCCTGACCGCCGGGTGGGACGTCAGGTACCTATCCTCCGTTCATCAACTACATCTCGTCACTGTTCGAGCGCCGCCGCGAGTGGGCGCTGTGCCTGCGCGACGATATCCCCGTAAGGCATCACACCAACAACGTCGTGGAAGCCGCCTTTCGCGTGCTGAAGGATTCTATCCTGCACAGTGCACAGGTATGTCGTTCTCAATTTGTCTGGGCGGCGTGCGTATTTTAAATTCACCATAAGGCTCAGCCATTCCTAGAGGAATTTTAGGCACCTTGGGAAAGAAGCAGAAATCCCCATACAAATAATGAGGTGCATGGATTGGTTTTCCGAGGGTTACGACGACGACACCATGGACTTTGAGGACCCCGCCACTGCGGCGGCGACTGTCAGTGGAGCTGAGCAGCGACGCTCGGATGACCGGACACGCCAAACCGTGGCGTTCATCCAGGAGTGGGCAGCCTTCATGTGCGAGGCAGTCGTCCAGGACGACACCGGGGAGAGGGCTGCTGCTGCCTTCCAGCAGAGGTGGGGCCCGCTGCCCACTGCTGGCCGCCAGCCCGCTCTGCACCAGTTTGGAGGTGCGCAGGGCTGCCGACGGAACGCCACCCAGATTCCGGTCCAGCCGACCAGCACTGCCCGTCGCACCAGCACCAACGCACGGGGTCGCGCTCGCTGGCCCGCTGGACGGCCGCGCCTTTCCGCGCGCACCGGGGAGCACGGCTACGTGGCAGCCTCCGCCAGGCGGTCGGCGGCGCCCCACAGCCTGGCTACCTGTGTCGACCAGAACCGCCCCCTGGGGCGCTGAGTGGTAGAGTGATGTGAAGTAGGTATGAGACCACGAGGCCCGGGCCAGCGGGCTTTTGCTGTGCCTCACGTGATGCTACTGGGATCGTGCTGGGCTCAGCAATGCATGAGTGGCCTAATGCTAAGAGGATCCCCGGAGAGGCTGGTCGGCTTCACCTACCTTGTGAGCTGTGCCGTGGCGGCGGCCGCAGCCCCGTTTACTATGATTTAATGTCGTTTAGACTATGTGCTTTGAATTAAGCTTTGCTTTTGCGCCTCTCATTTTCTTTTGTGCACTTCAGTCCCTTATTTCAGTTTAATAAACTTGGTTATGATGGTGAAGATAAAATGCCGGGCTTGGTGCTGGGCCGAGAGATGGAAGTTGGGCTTGCTTCTGGACGCGTCAAAAGTTGAGCGGTGGTGGTGGTGCCGGGCCTGGATTTCGGGGGAAATTTGCCATTTCTAGTAAGTATCATGTGTCGCTACGTGTTGACTTGCTGGGAAAACTAGAAAACGGCAATAATCCGGAAAATTTCACACAAAAAATTATTTCTGACCCTCCCTAGCCGTGTCAAAAACCATTATGAACATCAAATGTTTATGCAATATGCAGCATATCGTCAATTAAATTGCAATCGTCATAAATGTGCCTGTATTATATTACGCAAATATTGATCATATATCTTTTGCTACACAGGAAGCTCCGAAAAGGAAGCTGGTCTGCAATATGCGCGACTTCCACATCAGGGGAACTCGGATCTTCCAGCACTTTCGTCGATATCACAAAATCTGTGACCGAGATGCCTTGAAGTCCGTTCAAGAGGATATGAAGAAATTCTTCAAAGAGCTCTCGGAAAAGTGGGTCATTTAACCAGACATTTTTTTCTAGTTCGTGTTCACTTCTGAAGGCTTCCATTGTCATAATCGATTCAATTAATTTATGTGAGTGTCTGAACGCACCTCCCTGAGCTGTGATTTGATCGATTGCTCTCCGCTGGAGCCTTACTTACATAGAAGAAGGGCTCTCGACGTCTCTTTTCTGAAAGTGATTTCTTTCTAGGGATAGCGATTTCTCATTTCGGAAAATCAACGTTTTTTGCCACAGAAGCAGATCGCTGTTATCTGTGGACAGCATGATCCAGACATTGCAGCTCTATCTAACGGCACACTTATCATCAAAACTCCCAACCGGAGAGACACTAAGAAGGCACTCGCGAAGACGACTGTTTTCTGTGGCAAGGAGGTGACGATATCCCTTCATCAGGCCCGCAACTCCTCTAATTTGCATTATCTTCGCTCCAGAGCTCCGCCACATGTCTGAAGATGAGATCGTATGAGGGCTGAGGGGAGAGGGTGTGTCTCGCATCCGACGCCTCACGACCTTACGCGATGGCCAGCGACGGGACACTAGCCTGCTCGTCCTCACGTTTGACAACACGACACTTCCCGAAAAGATCAACATCGGATGGCTATCAAAAGACGTGAGAGCTTACATCCTAAGCCCACTCCGCTGTTTGAATGCCAGAGATTCGGCCACGGAAGCTCCACGTGTCGTCAGTCTGCCCGCTGCGAGAAGTATGGCGAGGCCCTCGCGAGGGCTCCGCCTACTCCAAGCCCGTCACGTGTCTCAGCTGTGGCAGTGCTGACCACTCAGTCTCTTCCTCACAGTATCCCACCAGGCAGAAAGAGAAGCGCAGCTACGAAGTTAAAGCAAAGACAGGCTGCTCATACCCAGACGCTCGCCGCCGCGTGGAATACGAGAAGGCCACTCAGACTCCCAGCCGGTCGTATGCCAGGACCGCCACCACCCAGATTGTCTCGTGCAGCACTGACGTTTTTGTTGTTGTTGTTGTTGTTGTTTGTTGGGGTTAGGGGCGCGCCGACTGCAATGTCATTATGCGCCCATAACGGATATTTTAAATACGTTTTTAGTTTCTTACTTATATACTTATTTACGTTTTATGTTTAGGAAAGGAAAGTAACGAGGAAGTTAGCTGCGCGGATAAGGGAAAATATGCTAAATACAGCACACGGCTGATCCAATAGCTGGACTCCCCCCTCTCCTGCTGCCAAAGCCTCTGACCACATCTACCTCCGCGTCGACAAACACCAACGACGCGACCGAGACCGTCTATGGTGAGCCGATGACTTCATCCCCTCTCGACTGGCAACTCGAAGTCTCACCGGAGGCCCGGCTCGGCGGCGGGGACGTCGTGGCGAGGTGGGGGGCGGCGCGGCGGCGGCTCGGCTCATCGTCGGCGGCGCGGCTGCCCAGCGTATCGGCGACATACGCCTAGTTTGTCGGCAACATTCACTCCCCCCTGTGTTCGGTCGTACATCCCGAACACACACAAAAGACCGACAAACTTCTTACACGCTACTCGTACGACTACTCACTAGTACACTAACTAGTACAAAGGACATCAGACACTTGCCGAGCAAATAGGTAAGCCAGACCGAACCAGAGCAGACCGACATGGCGCTCGGCCGCCACGCGTTGACAAATGGCCGCACAACTGGTCCTAAGAAAACATGGACCGCCATGGACAGACGCACCGGTTAGAAGGGCTGCTACTGGCTTCGGGTGACAAGGCAAAGACCGTTCAGTCGCTCTCGAGACGCCGAAATGTCCACTGCCTACTCAGCACCCCACGATGAGGCCGGACCCGCGGATCCGGATTTTTCGCCGGACACCTTGTGTGGTGCCGACGGCCGGCTGCTCTGCGTCCTAGAGCAGATCCTGGGCGTCTGCTTGGAGGGAGACGGCCCCGAGCTGCAACTGTCTGTGCCGCGCGCGACACGCCGTCTCCAGCTGCGGCACCACCCGGATCGACCGCACGGGAGCGCCTTTTTGTCCAGGTACGTAAGCACAGTTTTCACTCGATCAATACCACGATTCGTCAGCAATGCTCAGGCTCTGACCTCACACATTTTTTAATCTGAAGCACCACACGCACTCTGTAAATACTTAAAGACCGGCACACTTCATTGCCCTTTGCTAACGATGCATGTCTCTCGCTTTCACAGGTTAATCAACATCTCTGCCGCGTGGCTAACAGACCACCAAGGGGCGTACCTGGCGTGGGCGGCGACGGAGACGGGCGCGCGCCACTCTGGCTGGGCCAGCGCCGCTTCGTTCGCCGCTGACTCCGGCGGAGGAGCGGCGGGTGCTGGCTGAGCTGAACGCCAGCGCCGCCCGCCAGGCGGAGTTCCGGACGGAGCGCGACCGTCTTCGGGAGGACCTGAGGCGGGCCCGGATCGAGCTCGCTTCCAGCATCGCTCGCCAAGAGCGCCTTCGGTCGGAGCGGGAGGAGCTGCGCCGGGAGCGGGAGCTGACGCTGACGGAGCTGGACGCCAGCGCCTCCCGCCAGGCGGAACTGCTGCTGGAGCGCGACCAGCTGCGGCAAGACCTGAAACGGGCCCAGACCGAGCTCGCTGCCGGAGCCGCTCGCCAGGATCACCTTCTGGAGGAGCGACGGCAGCTGGAGCAGGGTTGCGAACAGGCCTGTTCCGAACTGGAAGCCGGCGTCGCCCGTGAAGAGCAGCTCAGGCAGCAGCTGGAGCAGCTGCAACAGACCGCGATCTTCGCGCAAGAGGAGGCTGCTCGGGGGCGTTGCCGGCTGGCCTCGGCCGAGGCACACATGCATCGAGAGAGGCGTGCGATGGGCGCTGTCGCAGGCGCTGCTCAGGCCGCAGAGCGGGCAGCTGCCAGGGCAGTGGAGCGTCTCCGCTCCATGCGTCTCACGCCTCTGCTCTCGGCCCACTTGCGGCAGACGGCGGCCGGGGTGACCGGTTGTCGCGCCCGGCGCACGGCCCGGCGTCTTCTGGAACGATTGTGCTGAATGGTTTTATCGCGGAGAAAACAAACTGGCGTTTCGATTTTTGTCTTTTTGCTGAATCAGTGAACGGTCGTCCAAGGCCTGCAGCTAAACACCGCCAGCGTGCTGTCCATCTGGGACAAGCATGAGGAAAAGCCGCTGGGGTACTTGCTGACGCGACGACTGAACCAGGACACTTTAAAGAACCGCTCCGATGTCATCCGAATGAAAAAAGGCCTTGAGATGCCGGTCCCGGTGCAGTTTCGGATGACGCTATGGCAGTGTGTTGTTACTAATTTGATGGCCCCGACTACAGTAAACGGCGGGGTGGACGGAAATGCTCTGTTGAGTGCACTGACCTCGGTGGCTCAAAGGTCGTGTGGTCTGTCATCGGGTCACCGACTACTTCAGCTCGTCGACAAACCCAGAAGTGACCCATCACCAGTGTCGACTTGTACCGGTATCAACCAAGAGCAGTCAAACATTCTAATCCATGTAACCGGCTACCTAATCAGGAAGGGGCGACACAAGCATGAATGTAGCCAGTGCAGCGACAAGCTCGCTAAGGAGAGACGGCCGTTGTCTACGAGCGCGAAATCCTTTGTGGGCTGAAAAGCTTCACTGACTAGCCGACTCTGACGTGTGCAGTCTCATTAAACCCACCCAGGCCTTCTACGATGCAGTGATGTATGCGTATTTGCAGGTGGAGGGGTCGATGCCGGCGGTTTTGACTCGTGCAAGCTTTTTCCCTTTGCAATAGGCGCCGGGTTTTCAGTTCAGAGAACCTTTTCCCTGGCTATTACACCCCAAAACCGAACACTGACACCTTGCACAAGTATGACTGTGTGTATCAATAAATACATGAACCAATGTTGTGTTTTCGGTTCCAGTACCTTCTTTCGGCACTTCGGCAACAAGTACTTCGTTAGCTTTGCCACACCTAAGATAGGCTCCCACGTTGTTATTTGCTCCCGGGTTAACATAAACCGGTTTAACGTAACTTTTGCATCCCGGCCAAAATTGCCGGGTTAACTGTCCCACCGCTCGAGACTGGCGCTAGGCTGGCCGAGCAAAAAAAAAAAAAAAAAAATCGTGCCAAGATCGATCATGTGACGGAGAGCAAGGTCGTCCAAAGCATGACTAGCGTGCTTTGTTAGAAAAACGCTCCGAGGGCGATACTCGATGTGTTGTTTGTTTGGTTGGTCCATACGGGCTTTGGGGCGCGCCGACTACTAAACTCATTTTGCGCCCATAACGTCTTACTAATGGTACGGGAGCGTGACATGTTCGGTGAGGTAGTATTGGACAAGGCGGCTGAGCATATCGCCACCCAGCCATGTTTGGGTACCGTGCACGACAATGTGGCAGTTAACAGACGGACAATGGACATCACTGCTGTCACCCTTATCCTTCCAGAGGCCAGCCCAGGGCAGATGCTCAGGAGTACGGTTGCGGGTGCTCCAGTGCTAGAGTAGCACGATGGCGACACCCTGGCAGAGGAGGTTCGGACGACGCTGTCGTCGGTCGGTTAACATCCGATCATTGGACTAGATATCTGATATATCAGCAGACGGTCAGTGCCTTATATCATCTGCAAGTGTTTGAAAAGCTGATCGCGGCCATGGAGAAACAAGCAAATGATTCGGAAGGGTCGTCTGCTCGTGCCTCTGTTCCATTCGTGTGGGACTCAGTCCACCTCATGAAGTTGGCCGACGCATATGCTAGACAGCTATGCAGCTGGGTCGAAGAAACAGTCGACCTCATACGTGAAATAACGAAGCGCTTCACCACTGATAAAGGACAAGAGGACCTCCGCAAAGCATCTGCAGTTTGTTTCTTGGGGGTCAGGGGGACTTATCTTGACCCTGGCCTGCAGCTCGGGGCAATCCCCCCGGACCAATATCCTTCCGATTTCCTTCGGTTCCAAAATCGTCCACGCCAGTGGTTCTGGCATTTCTTATCCGTCTCGTTCTGTATGTGTATTGAGGGTCGATAACCGTAGAATGAAGCAAAGTCAAACGTAACACTGAGAACGAACGCAAGTGCCACCATCCTGAACGCTCACTGAGAGTACATAGCGGGCGCGGGCAAGCATGTAAAACACAAACATGTTGCCATCGCCCAATATGATCTCAAGGCAATGGGCAGAACAAGGCAGGTGGTGACCGAGAAGACATGTACACTGAACGTGAACAGATAAGCACGTTCCTAGAGAAATACTGCCTCGTCGTCACCAAGGAAGGCACAGAACATGAAATACTTAGTGCACAAAGAGTCGCAGGAAGTTGACATGCCGGCTCCTTCTGGCTAGCAGATTCAAGCATCTGAGCAAGAGACCAGAATCATAAGATCGGCTGGAGAGAGAGATGTGTGCAATACTACGGAAAGGCAAGGCAACTTCAGCGATAAGACAACTCACTGGTTAGTCGGTAGGACCCTCACCACATGGCACATATAAAAGAAGGAGGCATGGCGTCGGCGATGCCAGTAGTCGTACAAAAGTTCACAACACATCGCAAATACACACCCTGCAATTTGATTTTGTATTATGGGAAGCTAGCACTGAAGATGATATATTCGAAACGCGTTTGCCATGGCTTTCTATAATACAGTACCTTTATATTTAAAAAAAAGTTTCACTTATCTAGTCATACATGTCACAATGAACGTTCAACAGGACTACCTTATGGGCAGCACATGCTGTATGGGTGGTCTGGGGCGAAATCTAGACAAGGATTGCCTGAGGCTGCGGAAGCAGGTTCAGACAAACACCAAATCAAACCAAAGTGTGATTTCGGACAAATGTGAGGAGACTTTAAGAGACGTCATCAAGGCAGTCGAGCTGCATTCTGTGACGCAAGTCATAGTAGTGGGGCCCATCCGTCCAAAGGGGCTGGATGACAATGGAGTCGAAGTGCATAAGGCTCTAGGGGCGCGCTATGAAGCGATTATAAAGCACCGCGGCCACTACTTCGTGAACGTCCTCAAGCTACTTCGCGAAGAGAACAGCCGTATCGGCAAGGGGTGCTTTACAGATGCGTGACATCTGACCGATGACACCTCACGCAAAGCCTGGCGTGATATCCTCCGGGTAGTCTGGACCCCCGTGACGTCTACCATTTAAACAAAACATCAAAGTGCTAAAATTGCAATGTGCTGTGCTGCTACCAAGTTAATAAGTCTATAGCTACACTAGGTGAGTTATGTTTTACATGATTTGTTTGAAGCTCGCTGTGTTGTTTTTACTTGTTTTGCACTGCACTTGTGGTTGGATGTGTTTGTTTAGTATGACTTCATAGATCATTGTGCCTTTTCTCTGGAGGATAGGAAAAACCATTGCAAAGCTAATCAGGTTATATGTGTTGTTTGTACTTCATCAGCACAAAGTACAAAAACAATCAATCTTACAATATTTAATGTGATGTTCCCAGGCCGCCAAAGAGGTTGCTGTCTTCCTCATCAGAGGAGGACGATGTGGTCTTGGATGATGACGAACCAAGAGCACATGCCCTTCCGCAAGAAAGTGCTGCTGTAGCTATGCCAAAGCTCCCGACACCACCAAGAGGTAGGTGTCTTCCATTTTAATCTTCATTGATGCTCACCGGAGTAGTAGATGCTCACCGTAGTAGAAGTGAAAGAGGCAAAGGGAGCGGGAAGCTCATGGGTGCTGCCTCTTCTCATTGTCCATATTGGTATATTCCTCTCTCACTATTTACAGCTTTTGTCCAGTATCTGTCAATCTGATTTTTGAAACTATTTATACTGCTGCCTTTTACAATGTCTTCTGGTAACCTATTCCACTGGTCTATAACTCTTGATGAGAAAACATGTTCCTTTTGTATGTTTGATGTCTTGGCTTCTTCAATCTCAAAGAGTGTCCTCGTGTTCTGTCTACATGCTGACCAGTCTCAAGTTCGAGAAATCCTTCTGCTTTCACTCTGTCATGCCCTTGTAGTACCTTATAGACTTCAATCATGTCCCCCCCCCCCTGATTCTACGTTGTTCTAGGGTAGTCAAATTCAGTTCTGCAAGTCTATTGAACTCACCTGTTGAGTTCAATAGACTTGCAGAACTGAATTTGACTTCTATCTTTGTAGTTTTTCTGATAAGCCATGTTTGTATGTTTGTCTGGCAGAGTTTGTCACTGAACCTGCCCCCCGAGCTGGCACTAAGAGAACCCAGAAGAACCATGGCTCGAAAAGGGCCAAAGACAGCCACTGTGGACCATGTCATAGTAAGTTCCTCGTAATCATTCTGGTCATACATCTGATTATTTATTTTGCCAGTTGTGTTGAATTGCTTTGAATGTAAATGAGACATACCACATTCTGTTATTGTTTGATGATAATTTTCAACCCATAACATTAACTTGCGATGCGTCTGAAGACTTAGTTTGTGCCATAGTGTTTACATGCATGTTGTGGCATGACCTTGGTCTTTTGCCGTAATGCCCATTCACAACAGTTACTGAGACCTCAATCCTGGCGCACCTCAATCCTCGCACCAACACCAACTGTCGAGGGAAGGATCAATGCGACCACCGGGTGATTTCACAAGATGGGTCGTATCCTGGGTCGTATAGCTTCGCAGTAAATGAGCGGATTGTTCTTGATAAGATATTGAGATTGGTGGAATTATTTTTGGCCCTTGACTCCTAGGTCAACATTCTCTTTGTTTGTTTATTGGGGCTTTCGGGCGCGTCGACTGCAAAGGTCATTTTGCGCCCATAACGTCGCGCTAGTAAAACAAGTGTTTCAAAAGAAGAAACTTTCTAGATATCAAGACTAGAAAGTAAAAGACTTTATAAAAAAAGACAGGGTAAAATAAAACAACGCAAGAGCGTCGTAATAGACAACTGACTAGACAAGGAGACTAGAGAGGATTTGGGTCAGGTCGAGTAAATCGCTTGGAATTTGACTGCACGGATAAAGGAAAAGATGTTGCCAGATAAAACCCAGGGTGACTCGTCACCCAGCAGGTGGCGGACAGTGGTGCCCGGAGCGATGCGGCCGAGGTAGCGCGTC